GCAAAACGATCACAAGTTTTCTTTCAATATCATATATATCTTTGTTACTGTTAGGGGCGTATATGGCAAAGTAGTTTTTAAAAAGCGAAAACGACTTTTTAAAACACCTATAACGCGCTCTACGATGTTACGTGCCTTTGCGTGTTGTTCGTTGAATATGTGTTCTGGTGATCCTGGGTTGGGGTTTCTATATGGAGTAAGTAAGAATGCTTCATTCTTCGAGGGATAATATTGTTTTGAATTACAAATCTATAAATCAAAGGCAGTAAAATTAGAAGTTTACAAATCTAATAACTTACTCGTACAACCATCGCATTTATGTTGAAAACCCCCTTTCTGTTCAACAAAAGATGTTCGTTCAAAAAGGGTTTTACCTATATGAGCCTAATCATTGCATCCTATCACTCCTGGTATTCCAAATTTTTGCATAAATCCCCTTGGGACACAAATATTTTCAAAAAAATTAATCATTTCGGAAAAATTTTTGATACGAACCGTTCACGTTCGTTCTACACCTAAGCGGCCATAAAAAACATTATTTCTCCAATAAAATCTATTTAATTTCAATTTATTTAAAATTTTAAAATAACGAATTCTATTTTTTTTGTTTTCTCAAACTGTCACAAAGAAATCAGTGTAAACACCTCCTTGAATAAACATTGATCCTGGCAGCATTAATTTTCCTTGATGTAAAACTTAGGTATTAGTTATTTTAATCGCGTTTAATTTTGTTTTTCAAATTCATTTCCCAATGCAAGCGACAATGCACAGGTGTACAACATAAAATTCGTTGTATAGGGCGACCACTGTACTTATATTTCTTACTACCCATCAAAATAACGTCTTTTCATGTTTTTCCTGTTCCCATTATTATTTGTAGCCTTTAAAAATCTATAAGAAATTAATTTGATAAATTACATCCTCTTGTGCGCCATCTATCCATTAAATTTGTATTGGTGTGTGACTATGCTATAGTTCGTGTGCGTCCGAACCAGAGAACGTAAATGAATAGCAGAGAATGTTAACAGAGAATGTTGATGAATTCATTCATTTACGTTCTCTGATGTTGATGAATATACAGAGAATGTTAATAAATAGAAATGGCGCAAAGTTAAAAAATACTAATTTGAGTTTTTCACAAGAGGGAACATTGAAAAATACAACTCCGAAACTTTAGAAATACACCACGCAATGACCGAAAAGGCTATAAATAGACACAAAGAATGTTCATAAATGAATTATGCGCTTGCTCCATGCATTTACTTTAATAGCATATGTAACTTCCTGAGATAATTAAAATATTTCAAGAAAATATGTTCATACAAATGTTTAGATTTATTTAATATTCCCTTATATACATAGGTATGTGTATTTATACAAATGTACATACAATCATAAGTACACATATGCTGTTGCTTGCTTCTTGGCTTGCCCCGCACAAAGACTTTTTCTTCACTTTTTGCGAGAACAACTAAAACAAAGCAAGTTGAACCAGAGAACTTAAAACAAAATAAAAAGTTCTCTGGTTGAACGATCGCAAGCAAAGAGGAGCCAGGGGGTGCACTGCCACATAATTACTTCAGATATTATTTTGTTAATCGAATTTAGTTGAAATTATTTAAATAAGTATGAATTTATGTGTATTTATATTTTTACGCAAATTTTATAATATTACGTAAATAAGCACTAAGATATCAGAATTTCTCAATACAATTAAGCAACACAATAATATACTACAGTCCTCAGTTGAAACGCCTCTGTGTATGATGGCAAGCCAACGAAATAACGGCGAGTACGCGTGGACTTGTGTTGTTGAAAAAAAAAACCCAATGTTAACTTTGTCGACAAACATACATATATACATACATACATATGAGTTCGCATACATATTGACACCGAATTGTGCGGAGTTGATAAAATTTGTTTGAATCGAGAATCTTGCGACAATGTCGTCTCTGTTGTCACTTTTGCCTTTTTGCATTGCGTTGTTATTGAAAATTGACTTATGTTCTTTTTAAGAGTAGCGATTTTCGATTACTATGAAATAATGATAATAAGTAAACATGCATAAGCACTATATGGAGTGTATTTAGAACTCATGGAAGTAGGTTAAAGACTTCATATGAATGATAATTATACTTTCGCAACATGTTGCTATAGAGTATAATAGTTTTGTTCACCTACCGGTTGTTTGTATCACCGAAAACTAATCGAGTTAGATATAGGGTTATATAAGTATGTATATATAAATGATCAGCAAGAAGAGGCGAGTTGAAATCCGGGTGACTGTCAATCCGTCCGTCCGTCCGTCTGTGCAAGCTGTAACTTGAGTAAAAATTGAGATATCTTTATAAAACTTGGTACACATGTTTCTTGGTACCGCTAGACGGTTGGTATTGCAGATGGGAGCGGCATCCGCAGTTAAATTTTTTTTTAAGTGGGCGTGGTCCCGTCTCTTAATAGGTTTAATGTGCATACCTCCAAACCGATAAAGCTATAATAACAAAATTCACTGAAAACAAATATTTTTAGCGCCTCTATCGATTTCACACTGGGTGAAACCAAACACGCATTCAAAATTAGACAGTGGGCGTGTCACCGCCTACTTTTAGGTGAAAACCCATATCTTCGGATATGCTTAACCGATTTCAACCAAATTCGGTACATAACATTCTTCTCATATTTCTATGTTATATATAAGTATTTATTTCTTTTAACCACAAAGGATTTAGTTTGAGAACAAGAATTGTATTTAGTTCGAGGATGTTTTATAATAAATAGAAAAACTATGGAGTAAAAAAAGTATGGATTGTTAATCTTTCCCAAAGGATTAGGGAATTCCCGACTTTAGTATTTCTTTGAGACCATCACATACAACTGAAATATGCAACACACCCTAAGTGTCGTGTAGTCGAAGCGCACAAACATTTGCGAAAATATTATAAAAATGAATGACAGAAAAACTCGATTTAAGTTGCTGGACTCTTTTTGCTCGTGTGAATGCACAGAGAGACACCAAAATAGAATTTGCCGATAATGAGGGTCAAAAGAGTCGCAATGTAAGCACAGTAAAAATAATTGAAATAACGGAAATGCTTACTTTAGGGACGCCAAGGAGAATATGTCAGGCTTCTTTAAAATACAATTAAGAGTATTAATGAAGAAATGCAAATATAATAAAGTATATATCGTATGTAATAGTATTAAATATTCGCATTGCTTTGTTTTCCTCATCGGCTTCCAGACGCGAGATAAGAAAAATCGGTGAATCCTTGTTCGTTTATGTAATTCACAAACGGAATATATTTTTTACCTTGTTTTAGAAATCACATTTTCATTTAATTCATTTATTACCTTATGTCTTCCTTATTAAACTTTGATTGAATGTAGGCTAAGAGAAGTTACGCCGTCGCAATGACTATCGGCATAGACCTCTATTAAATATAAATGTAAGTATACATATGCATATGGTACTCTGTATTTGTGTATATAAATTAAGCATTCACGCGTGTGTCGTTGCAAAACCACACACCAACACACTTGGATTCTTACATCTTTGGCAACCGACTTGAAAACACAAGTAAATAAAATATTGAAACGCTTGAGGAGTGATGTGGAAATATTTCCATCACACAATTACATACGAAAGCATAAAAGCAGCAATGAATGCAACTGAAAGGAAAAATTTTCTCGCTTAGAGAGATTTTGGTTGGCCAAGTTAATCACATAAAGCATAGCTCACATCAACCCTGTTGGAAAATGTTCTCATCCGAGCGTAATAATAATAACAAGTAAAGAAGGGATAAGTTCGGGTGTAACCGAACATTTGATACTTTTGTAACTTGCAAGAATCAAAGCCCGGGAAATTCCTTCGAGTGCTGGTAAATATTTATATAAAAAATATTTTGCCAAAATTCAAAAATTTGTATATTAGGCATATGGGAGCTAAGGGAAGTATTGACCCGATTGAACCCATTTTTGACATACAGTCATACCCCGATTTCACCCATTTTCACACTGTCGATAGGGGTTTCAAAAATATTTGTCCAGAGTGAACTTGGTTATTATAGCTTTAGCGGCTTAGGAGATATGCACATCACACCTATTAGAGGGTGTGACCACGCCCACTTTAAAAACATTTTTTTAATTGCAGATTCTTCTCTCTAATGTTATTCGTTATACCAAATAACAGTGTTGCATCTTATTGTGTAGAGTTTAGTTATGGCAACTTATTGGTTTTCGGATAATGGCGTTTTGTGGGCATGGCAATGTTCCGATAATGATCATTTGCAATACCAATCGTCGTATGGCGCCCAGAATTATATGTACCAAGTTTCATTAAGATACCTAAATTTTTTCTCAATTTACAGCTAGCATATACGGACGGACGGACAGACAGTCACCCGGATTTCAACTCGTCTCTTCATCCTGATCATTTATATATGTATACATAACGCTATATCTAACTCGATTAGTTTTAGGTGATACAAGCAACCATTGGGTGAACCAAACTATTTTACTCTATAGCAGCATGTTGCAAGAGTGCAAAAAATCTAAGTTTTGCACTAACGAGTCAATACTTCGAACTTTACCTGCAGGGGTAAGCAGGAGAAAATTTGGTAGCAAGTGGACATCATGGTCTCATTGTGCTCTCAAGTGAGATCCAACTAAACACCATTCAACAACTCGATAGATAGATGGATACAAGTATGAGTTCTTTTCTAAGCTTTTTCTATCACTTTCTTATGTATACGTATATATTTCGGATGTAAATTAAAACAATTTCACATTGGGTACATATATATGTATGTGTCAATAAGTTGGTAAAAAACTCAACTAGTTGTTATGAATGTACATATGTATGTAAACGTGCACATACTTAAGCCGCACATTATCTACTGGCAAACAAACTGCCGCATTGAGCCGTAACAGTCAAGTTTTGAAGCAAGAGGGTATTTCTTGTTTAGTTACAAAACTGATATTTAGTCTAAGTATTCCGAGCAACGGTGAAGCAACGATTTAGAAAGTGCGCTGACAAATCTAACTATTTTCTACGAATATTGTTTTTTTTTTAATTTTGAAAACAAAACATTTCCCGATTAATATTATTTGTGCGTGAATTTTTGGCGTTTTAAAATATAAAGAGTAATTTAGAACAAAGTTTTCGCTGCCTTTGTCGAAATACTTAAGTGCGGGCAATATGAGGGTGCATTTTCGTGACACGTAATTCAAAATTACAAATATACAATATCTTAGAGGCACTTTTGCTTGCCGTTTGGTCACTATTTTTGCGACGCTACCGAATGTTGAAAGTGTTCCAGGTGAATGACTCTTTTGAATGCTATCGGCTTCCGGTCAAGCCACCCTTTGGCTTTCGTCACGACAACATTGTAATGTGTATGTGTAAACACTATGTGATATTCATGCATGCATATATTTATATGTGTATATGACTGCTTACAAACCTAGTTACCGCAATTGAAGGGGCCCTGAACTAAGGTGGTATTTCTTATGTTTCGGACCATTCAAGTGAAACACAATTGTTATTATTTCTGATGAATTATGGTGCATAACACCTAATGTTTAGATACAAGTTAGTGGAGTTAACTAATCTTAAAATTTAAATGTATACATACATATGTAAGTATGTGTAATATGTGTTCGTGTTCGTATTCAAAAGTAATTATGTTTCTCGAAACTCCATTTTTTGGTTGCAGCAATTGCTCACTGTGACTGTCTAGAATTAGTGTTGTTTCAAATTTAGTTGTGTCTATATAAATTGTAAAATGAATACATATGCATAGATATGTTCTTAATTGAAAGTTTTTTGTGCAGTGAAATTATAGTATTCTTTATTATGAAGCAAAAATTGTATTTAATAATGTGAACAGGTAAATAACACAAAAACTCATCATAGTTTTTTGCTCGCAACGAAATTACAAGCAGAAACAAATATGCTCCACCAAAAGGATTGCTTCGCTAATGCACAGTACAACTTAGCTGCCATTAAAATCACTAGTTATAATCGACACAATAAAAAGCAACGACAGCCTAAACAGTTTTTCATATTATCAAGGAATCCGTGACTATAATTACTCCGAACAACGATTTTGAATTTACTTTGAATTGAAAATGAGGATTACGTATGAGTGCACAATTCTTTTAATCGGCGTACTTCTAATGTTTCTCAAACTAAACGGTGAGTTCACCTCTGTCTAATCACCAAATAGTTCGATTCAACAAACCTTCAAAAAAAAAAATCGTATGTACTATATTATGGATATAGATATTATATTTAGAGTGGATTTATGAGCATCAAGACAGTTTGGCCGAGTTCATAATTGCTCCTCAAAACAGATCTTTCCAGATTGAACTAAGAAGCTATGTTTAAAGCTAATTTTGACAATATGTTTGGTTGAATGTCCTTTACTAACAATTATGTTCATGCAGCGTTTGTGCATAGGATCTACTAAATCATAGAACCTTGCGTGGCCAAGTACCGTACAGACTTTACTTTTTCCCATATTTCATCAATGTTTTTTTTTTAGTTTTTATTCAACTGTAATAATTTTTATTCAACCTATGCGTTCCTTGACTACTTTTCACAAATTTTCTATAGGATTTAAGTCTGGAGATTGCACAGCCGAATCCATTATTTCAACTACCTGGTTCGAAACCTCCCAAAATCACAAACCACTATTGTTGTTGGCAGTATACCCATTTCAAAGACATTTTCCATTCAGCAAAATAAAACCACACTCGCACCAGACTTTCCATATTCGTGAAAAGAGATCCATTTATTTCGACCTCTTGGCAACATGTTGCTACAAAGTATAATAGTTTTTTTCACCCAAAACTAATCAAGATAGATATTGGGTTGTATATATACATATATAAATAATCAGGATGACGAGACGAGTTGAAATCCGGGTGACTGCCCGTCTGTCCGTGCAAGCGTTGAGATATCCTTGGCACTCAAGGGATATTGATTATGCAATTGGGCGGAATCGGACCATTGCCACGCAAACAAAACGCCATTAAACGAAAACATTTAAAGCGCTATAACTAAGCCGCAGACAGTATCTTATAAAAGAATTTTATAATTTTTATTAGGTAAGAACTAGCTGATTTTTATCTGGCATGTACAGATTGGTTAAAAAACTTCTGCTCTCACCAAAAAATAGCACTACTACCTCCAAATTTCGTGTCGTGAAACACATGTAAAGTTACAATTCATTCTGTCAAATAGTTTTTAATGAATTTTTAATGTGACCAACGTTCCGCCCTTCCGTACTTACCGTTGTGACAACGTAGGAATCAGTTCTCTTTTGTTTTCATTTGAGCAATGTTGCCATTGTAATTTTTGGTTATTTTAAGAATATTTTAAATATACTCAAGTTTATTTTTTAATTACTACAAAATATCGAAACTGGCAACTCTGCGTTGTAAGGGAGCAATCACTAATACTTTTAATTCACTTTATTAAATATTGAAAGTTCAAAAATCAATTGTTTTAATATATCACAATATCACAAAAAAGGATTTAAATAGTTTCTCCGTATGTATAGGTATGTAGGTATACTCATTTTTAATCTAAGTAAATGTTGGGAGTTTTAATTTAAATGCTCAAAAATTATTATTTTGCTTGATCTGGCTACAATGCAAAACGTTATAAAAAACGTTACAAATCTTCCTTCAACTAATTGATGAGAAGATCAGTGATAGTGAATCAATTCACAGTCATGAAAACCAGGTTAGCAAATACACGTATGACCCAGCTAGAAAACTTGCATGAAATAATATACCTTTCATTTTTTACATAATAAATCAATTAGATGTCAGAACCAAATACTATTAGGCACAGCTAATGCCGCTGACAGGCAGCAAAAAGTTACCGTATCCTTTTCGGTGTAAATACACATATGTATGTAATATATATCATTTATAAATTGACAAACTAACTTTCCGTAATAATCTAATATTCACCATCTTGCTTAAGGAGAAATAAATATTTAGTGGAAGCCTTTACCAATTAACGAGCATAGAATTTTCAAAGCAGAGAAACTGAATACGAGTAAAGCGTTATTTATTTTTAAAGAGCCTAAGTATGTATGTTTCATCTTACATTTAAAGATATACTTTAATATTTCGTAATTCATTAAAAACTATGAAGGTTTCAGTAAGCTATTAAAATTTTTTCATTGTCTAACGGACAATACTAATTACATACATATGTATTTTAAATAATTAATTTTCCACCTACTTTCTATTCGCAAAAAGTGGAATAAAATTTGAAGGAATGTAAATAACCAAATCGTTAATAAACTGTTTCTAATGTAATATATCGCACCCAGAAGAGGACCACATATACTTTCTATTCAATCCGTTTATTACAAAAAACTAACAATTGCCAAAATTTTTAATATTTTGATTTAATCATTGTTATTTAAATGTATAGCATTAGCACTTTTTGGTAACACCAAAAAAAAAGATACCCAATGGGGCTGAAAAAGCAGACAAAATCTTTCATTTCTTTATTTGCATACCAAGCTGAATAATTTCAATCCATAAATCACACTTGCAGTGATGTGCGGTAATTGAGTATATTCATATAAATGTGCTTAAATACACACATCTCTTCTTTCTTGGCCAAATTGTTTTCACGGAAGTATATATATACAAGTAATGTAAGTGTAACAATTTATAAATTCAGATTTAGAAATGAGTAAATAATATTATGTAATCGATGGAAGTGTACCTCAAGTCCAGCTCCGAAAGAAAATAGAAGCCGCACTATAATCATTCCATACACTAAAGTTCATTTCGTAAAAATACAATTTGCATCTTCTTATATTTTACCTTTCAGATGAAACTCATTTGTTGGATCTTGAAAAATTTAAAATGCTTTGTCAATATGTTAAAAGTTTCAAATTCGCACAAGCTACTTTTCCATACGAGCATCAATATTATATTTATACATATGGTACATACGAGTATTTGGTATATATTTTTACTCATTTGTGCACGTACTTATATAAATTATAGTAAGCACATCCATCTAATCATTGTGCCCTGACTAAGCTTGTACGTTCAAAGAAAATAACTAAATTCGAGAGCGCAATAAAGTTTCATATAGTTTGAAATAAGTACACATGCTTAGTAGAGCATATCGGAGGCGAATTTCGAATCAGTGCATATGCAATTGGCCAGATTCAAGCCTTGGTAGACCACTTCAACTTTCTTCAAATGCCTTTGGTTTCTGAAATAGAAATGTGAAGATTTGCTTTCAATTAATATCAATGTAATTTACTAGATTGTCAAGAGTTTTTAACATGATTTTGATATTTTTCTTATTGACATAACATAGCTCCAGTAGTTTTTTAGATTTGTACATATAACTACACATATATGTACTTATGTGAGCGACTATATAAAATTATGTTGCTCCGCCTGTATGCATGCAATATCAACTTTTTAAGAATACCCAAGAAAAAGTTATCTAAATTTTTATACTCTCGCTATGGCTGACTTTTTTCCGAAAATATCGAGATATATTATTGAAATATAGCAATTATATTTATGATAATGTGGCCCCATATAAATAGTAAAATGATTTTCAAACTTCCGATCAGCTTTGTGCCGTATATATCAGTCAATATGTAAGATGTCTTAGGAAAATTAAGTGAAAGTATAATATCAGATATACAAGTCATATCGTTTAATATTGTAGTATATAGACATATAGTGGTTTTCGTTATTCTGGTAGTGATCAATGTGTGAGTTATCTTCATAAACTTGTGCGGAAACATATTCTCGAGTATTCTTTAGTAATGCAATCAGTCCAGACCTTCCCATAACTATACCCGTTGTAGTGATTTCCGATTTTCCAGATAACTTTAATCCGTATATTATATATGAGGGATATACTCTATTACGCGGTCGTATTTTTCCTCATATACGTATACCCAATATATTAAATTTAGCTTATTTGGTTGAGTTTATATGCCATATATCACATTTCAGTTAATAAAGTTAATTTTTATATAAATATCTCATATTGTAAAGATATAAAGTTATATATACTATATATACTATACTATACTATACTATATTTAATGAAAACTTTCAAAAATATTTTCGAAACAAAAGTTTATTGCATATTTATTGGTTTTCCTCACCACCTCTGAGGTTTCCATGTAGGCGCGTTAGCGATCTTTTTCTGGGTGTTCGGTTACCCAGGAGGTCTATATTCATCCATAGAATATATACATATCTAAATCAGTCCACTTTTCATAACAAATATAACTAGAAAACAAGTAAAGAAGGGCTAAGTTCGGGTGTAACCGAACATTTCATACTCTTGCAACTTGCAAGGAACAAAAGCGGAGGAACACCTTCAGGTTTTGGCAAAACTAAGGAAAGTATCGGCGTGATTTCATTCATTTAAGGAAAGAGTATACACTGTTATTAGAAAAAGATTCTTTCAGAATTTCATTAAGATTTCTTACATGTTGACCGGTAGATGCGGTATAAAATGAACCGGAAGCTCGGATGTGGGATGAATTAAAATTGACAGTAACGGTATCACCAGCTTCATTTCGAAGGAAGTACGGACAATGTAGGTGAATGTAATGGTTGTTTATGAATAATTTGTGGATTTTCTTCGCACCAGAATCGATAGTTTTGTTTATTTACGGCACCACTCAGATGAAAGGGAGCCTTATTAGGGTAGACGATTTTCTTAAAAAAATCGTTATTGTTTTCGAGTTGTTCCAAGGCAAAATCAGCAAATTCACGACATTTACGGTGGTCCAATAGCCTCAGTTCTTGAGTGAGAACAATTTTATAAGGAGGCAAGCCCAAATCCTTTCACAAAATCCGCCATGTTGTGGTTTAAGACAGTCCCAATTCTTGAGAGCATCTTGAAATCTACAAATAGCGGTATTCAGCAACACTTGGACACCGGAACAGCAACAATATTTTCATTACTTCGAGCGGTTCTTTGTCTTATTGGTACTTGAACATTATGTAAAGAAAATATACGCTCGAAATTTTCAACAATTCGACAAATACGCACGAAAAGTTTCAATTGGAGAACGATTATTTAATAATAATAAAATATATATAATAATAATATTATATAAAATTGAATAATTTGTAAACTTTGTTCTTGGGTATATCTTTACATGAGGAAATTTTAAACATTACTCAATACAATGAAAAAAAATTACAGATCATGACATATTAAAAATGGCCGAAACGAAATTATATCATGCTGCTGATGCATATTTACAACCAATACACCACGTTAGCTGCTTTACAAATAGATTAATTACTATATGATATTTAATGCATGTAATGACATTAAACACAGTAATTGTATAAATAAGATTTCGTGGTACATCAGATGAACCCAACAACTACATCGTTACGAATGACGATAGAGTTTTGTTCCCTTTATGTCGGTTGAACCGACAGTGTACGTGGCAACGTAAGACACCCAAAGATGTTTTGACATTATGGAAGTCCAATGACTAGCCTACAAATTCACTAATGTAATAACTATTGAGAATGAGTATTTGTTGAACGTATTATAGCACGACTCCTGGAGATAAAAAGTTAAAATACTAAATATATAAAATATGTATGTAAAATTGTTATTATTATTTTAGCAACTACTGGTGCCATCTTAGACTCGCGTTGTTATCTTGAAGGTGGCGGTTCAGCAGAGAGCTTTCTCGCCAATGAAGATCTGGGAGTGGGAGCTATTATTGGAAAGTTACGAATAAATGGAAATCCTGAAATAGAAGGAGGCGATATTGATTTATCTCTACGAGAAAAGGACGCTCAAATCAAAATAGTACCAAGCACCAAAGATTTGTCTTTGGCTATGGAATTGGACAAGGAAGGGGTCCTGGGTCCCTCTTCAGTTTATGTAAATGTTATTTGTACTCGTCGTCGTTCTACTGATCCGGTAAGTGCTTGATATAAATCGAATTTGTAGAATTTTCTTATATGCATGCATTTGAAAAATAAGTAAGTATGAGTATTTGTTTTACTCTAAGATTCAGAATACATTTGTAGCTATTACACCAATGTATTAAGAACGGATAGGAAAGAACTAAGCTCCGGAATTATAATAACAAAGATTAATAAATTTTTCATTCGTTTATGAAATCAAAAGAAAAGAAGCTTTATAAGAAGGGCAACATGACTGTAGCCTGAATGAATACAGATTATAACATAAGTAAATTGTTATGATCAAGTAGCTTCGTGAGGCTGCCAAGTTCATTGTCTAATGTTGAAATTGACCATTTACCCCGTCACTGAATAATGCGGTGTGGGCTGATAGTAGTTTAACTCAATCCAATTGTAAATTTTAACCACATTAACTGTTGCATCATGCAATAACTTAAATTTGAACAAGGAAGGAAGGCCTAAGTCTGGGTGTAACCGAACATTTTATACTCTCGCAATTTTAAAGGATGAAAACCGGGGAAATAGTTTCAGGTATCTGCAAATGTTGCGAAAGAAGTCCATGGTCGCTCGTTCGGTGATATTATTAATGGATTACAATCATATTTGTTACATTATTAACTTACTCGTATACCAAAGGACGTATAATCACTATTTTAAGTTTGAAAATTCATATAGGGGTGTGGGAAGTTTTGACCCGATTCTACATATTTTTGACACAAGGGCACATTGTTATCAGAAAAAGATTAATTCTGAAATTTATTAAAATATTCACAGATTGATCGATACTTTCGGTAAAAAGTCAACCATAATCACAGATAGCTCACATATGCGGTATCAGGGGCTTGAAAATGAATGGTTCGATTTTGACTATTTTTGAGACCGACTTTAAAATTGTGTTATATGTGAAGTAGGCGTTGTTGCAATTCGTTTTCGTCCATTTCCACACTGTGCCATTAGAATCTGATGCACCAATTATAATTGAAATACTTCCTGAAATACATGATTTCACCTAAAAGTGGATGGTGCCACTCCCACTGTGCAATGTTTACACCATTTCCTTTTTAACCCTTCCGTACCATTTTTACTGTAAAATTTAATGTTTTTGACGTGTTTCTTTATCTCATTTTTAATAGTTTTCAACATATGGGCGGTGAGTGTGGATTATCCAAGATTTTCAGACTATATGAGGTAGTTCTTGAAGAACTTGCCCTCGGCAAGTTTGGTTGATATAGCATTAGTGGATTTTGAGATATATACATACATAAAACTTATTAGCGAGGGGGGCTACGCTCAATTTTTAAAAAACATTTAAACTGCAAATACCCCTCTGTACTTCGATGCTATGTACCAAATTACGGGTTTGTATCTTAATTTGTGGTTTAGTTATAGCAGTTTATAGTTTTTTCAATTCTCTATCTCCGCCTAAAAATATCATTGATAGCTCAATTACTTCTCGATAATCATCGATCCAAACCGCCTTGACTTGTTCTCTTTTTGATGAGTTTTCTAATCTTGTCACTTGTTGTGATTTGCGAGCATCTAAAGCAGGCAATAATTCTCCATTAAAGAACAAAGTTACAAACTCTCTCATAATTTAGCGACACCTGTCTAACATTGCTACTTATTTTGATTTTTCAATGGGGTTGACTCTGCGTTATATTTATGTCGCTGTTTCTTTTCCTCAATTGTTCTTTTTTAAACTCCATCTAAGTGACCTTTCACCCGTTGTCGTTGCAAAAAAGACTTATCTTCATTGTCAAAGTTCTTGATAAACTCTTGTCGCTGCTGTCTTGGGTTTTTTTTGCAAATCCCTTAAAATTTTATATAAATTCACAAATTTCTTTACACAATTAGGAAAAGATCTTTTAAGTATACGAGATTTTTTCCAATATATAATGCGCTCGCGAATACTGAGATTTGCACTCTAATTTTCAGATAAATTCACTTGACGAATCTTTTGATCCTTTATTTGATATTTTGCATCATCTTTAAAAAATATATTTTTCTTAAAGCTGCGTAATTCTAATTGACATGTTGACCGAACGAAAACTATGTTTTTAAGGTAAAAGATCACAAATTATAACATGCATATCGATAGTTCGCGCGCACACCAAACTTAGTTTCCAATTGTTTCAACATGATTCAAACAAAGAGAAAGCATCCAAAACAAAAAACTTTATTTTTTTTGGGACATCCTTATGTATGAGTATATATTATATAAGTACATATATTATATATGTACATATATTATATAAGTACATTATTATATATGTACATATATTATATACATATATTATATTGGTGTATTAAATTCGAACTGGGTCTGAAGTAGCTATCAAGCGCTCTCGGATTTAATTTCATTATTTCATTTGTTATTGTCTGTGGTAATTCATGTCGGCAACTTACTCAAACTCCTGTAAGGTTTTTGGTATGCCGGTAGCTTACATACATAAACACTTAAGCCAACTTGAGGGTTTTAATCGCCTTATACTTTAAAAGTTGTTTTCAAAAGCTAAACAATGCAGGGAAAGCATAGATTTTTAGGAAAGTTAATTTAGCAATGCATTTTTATAGCCACACACTTTATACATATATTATATAACATACTCGTAAGTATGAAAACTGGTATATTCGAGTTCCATATGGCATATGTTTACACTAGTTTTCGTATCTATGTACATATGTACCATGCATATCTACATTTGTAATTGTTTCGTTGAGATGTCTCAAAGTTAGCTTATATAAAGTCAAATTGAAGGATTGAGATTATAAAATCCTCAAACGGATGTGGGTCCATTTGCGTACAATCTATATTCAAAGCTGTCATTTGCTTGTTTCCTAAGCATGGAAATATTACAAATTTTATCAAATTAGTTAGATAAGTTCATGCCTAACTTTATTTATTTCTTATTTATTCATTTATTTATTTATTATAGATATATATATATTATATATATATAAGTATATATAGTGCTTTATGGCTGCTAGGGCCTTTGGCTTAATTAAAAATTACAGATTAAATTATTACAATTATATTACTGAAGTCTAAGACAAACTACTCAATTTGCAGGGTTGAAAGTGTTCTCCAATAAGTTTCATGCTATTGTCATCTGTCCGATCGAGTAAGTCATATGGTTTGTTGACTCTGTGTTGTTGGAAGTGTGCGCAACTATCGAGGATGTGAGGTACTGTGAAGTCTTCCGAACCACATAAAGGGCATATGGGTTTGTTTGTACCATTCAAGCGGTGCCCATGTCTAGCAAGTGTATGTCCACCCTGATGTGTATGGATGTTTTTATCTTCATACGGGTGATAGTATTAAAATAATGAAGTTTTTGGCCAGATGGGTTTAAGAGTTTAGACAACAGTCGAATCCTTATCCTCCAAACTACCCTCCAGCAGTGCGAGCTCAGGCGCTCGGGACTGAAGACGAACCCATAATCACCACGACCTTCGTCGTCATTATGAGTTTGTGTATGCCGAGGTTCTATCCGGCACTTTCACATCTTGGGGGTGGTCCAGGGCTTCCCCTGACCACCATCATAAAGACAGCGGAGATAGCAGCCAGATTTCTGATCAACCTGCTTGCCACCGTAGCGCTCCAAAATCTTGGCAACCAGTTCTCTATCTGTATTCATAGTGAAATAATAACTATATTAAATATAATAATAATATAAAAAAAATTTAGTTTAGGCACTCTTTAATCATATGGTAGTGGAAAGTAATATTTAAATTTGTGGTAGAAATTTTAATGCAATTATTTTCGTATTTGCTTTTTAGAGTTTTGTGATTCCGGTGAACGTACGCGTAATTGACGTCAACGACAACGCCCCGATTTGGATAGGTGCACCATATACCGTAACACTCTCTGAAGTCACTGTATCCGGTACAAGAATACTACAAGGTGCACATGCAGAAGATGCAGATCAGCCGGGTCCATTTTCTACAGTTGAGTACCAAATATTACCCGGACCATACTCGGGTTTTGTCCAGTTTTTGAACCCTCTCGAAGGTACATTAGTACTAAAAAAGTCGTTGGACTACGAGACTATGCAAAATTTTACTGTGAAACTTAGAGCTCAAGATCAGGGTAGTCCACCAAAATATACGGACACAACACTAAGAGTAGTGATTACAGATGCTGATGACCAAAACCCTAAATTTCAATATGACTCCTACACTGGAGAGCTTCCAGGCGATGGACATCCCGGCGATTTAAGGTTACGTCCAGAACCAATCAACGCTGTTGACCAAGATGAAGGCATATGTGCGCCTATTCAGTATACAATTGTTCAATCACAAGACACGACATACTTTCGAATACATCCTCACAGCGGCGTTATTACATTACTAACACCCATCGGCTATGCGGATCTAGTTAACGGTGCTACAATGGTGGTGAAGGCGACACAAATAGACAATGCCGACCGTTATGCGTTAACAACCGTTATGTTAACACGGCAAGGGGCGCGTGCTGATATAACAGCGCTGTCATTTGTACAGCAAAAATTTTTCATGCGTATACGCGAGGATACGGCTGTTGGAAATCGCATTTTAGCATTACCCACTAACAAACCGGGAAAACACTTGAAATATACAATATTGGACCCAGTAAATTCACAATTTTTTAGTGTGGGGTCATTGGGCGAAGTAATATTAGTTAAGCCTCTCGACTATGAGAAGATAACAAAACATGATTTTCAAGTAATGGCAACGGATGGTTTGACAAATATTACAGCAGATATAACGATGGAAGTTATCGACGTAAATGACTGGGAGCCTAGATTTCGAGAGACACATTACGAGTTCGTGATTCCAAATAGCGTAAGTACAAATATTTGAAATATTTTTTACAAGTGAAATCCTTAATGAAGCACATTTATATAGTTCTTAAAGAATTTTAATAACTAAGGATACGCACATTTCAGTTGCTTATAATATAAGCTAACAAAAGTAATAATTGTCTTTTATAATTGCATTATGATGTGAAATTTGGAATAATCACCCCTTTTATAATAGTTGTGTTCAGAACTACTAAAGGTGCGGTCACTGTATACTAATAACCTCAGAAATATTAAAACACGATAGGGAAACTGTTGAAGATAAACTTTTATCATAACTATGTTACTCGTATGTATTATCTTGATGAGCCTGGAATGTTCTTCTGAATATTTTTCTGACAATACTTTAGTGGGATATCAAAACACTCAAATTTGTACATTTTTTTTTTAGTCCTATATATTTTTACCGTAGTGTAATTTAACGTGATCATAGTTCTTGAACTCACTACATTTTAACCAGAAATATCTAAATTTACCTAATCCTATTGCTTTTAAATTCAATTCAGCAGTCTATTCACTCGCCATCTGAATCATTTGAAGGTGTAATGGTTGGAAAAGTAGAAGCAGCCGATGGGGATCGCAATGACAAACTTGAGCTATCGTTGAAAGGGCAATATGCTGGCCTTTTTGAGATAGATACTAAAGGATGTATTTACATGCGGCCTGAGCAATTACAAGGGCTTAATGAATCCACAGTTCATTTAATCGCCACAGCAACTGATTCAGGAATTCCGCCACGTAGTACCTCTGTGCCAGTCACGGTGACCATGGAAAGACTCACTCTTGCTCAAACATCTTGGAGTTCCAGTTTCATAGGAGTGTTAGGCATGATAATAAGTTTATTTATTGTTATTATTATAATTCTCACATGGTACATAATCCACTCAAAGAGCAAACGGCGAAAGGGCACACCACCTTTGGGACGAAATCGTGTCCACAGCCAGGCACACAGCACAATGTCTTCCGCAAACCTAGTTACTCACGAAAAAATTTCCAATAATGGTAATGGAACTGTAGTCACGAGTGGCAATAGTGGAGTTTCTGTGCTGCATATGAAGCATGACGGTAATATATCAATGTCAAATCCAATTAACAGTGGTCTAAATCATTCCGGAGTTGGCAAGGTATGTTCCACCGTTCTGGCAACGAATTTGGAACGTGAAAATAAGCGTGATCAGGAGCGTGATAGGGAAAAACAACGGGAAAGTTATGCAGCAACAGTTAGAAGTAAGTTCAAATTTAGTACTGTTATATAAACATTGCAAAGAGCATCATTAGTCATTCTTCCAGGTATAGTGTCACGAGCCTCTGCCAATGGGCAGTTGTACGAAGAAGATGAAATCGAAAATGACTCCCTTTCAAACCATAACAGGGAATCAGGTAACAACAATAAAGGAGCAGCTTGGGAAGAGTCAGCTAGTTTACAAAGAGGAACAACGTCGATAAAAAATTTAGACTGTAGCATCGTCAGAGCTTCAAACCTTCTGGCCGCAACAGAAACAATGGGTTCTTCGGAAAATAATTTAACTGTATATTTTTAAATATTCTGAAATACAATCAAAATCTTCCCCCTAATCCACTGACTGACAGACCCTCTAACAAACTAGAGAAAATTATAGTTGTCGAAACTGGAGATTCTTCGTAGTAAGTGATAATTTTTAGATTATTTTATTTATTCATAGTGCAGATTTAAGAATATAGTCATTTGAATAATTGTCATTCCATGTTTTCGACGAGACAGTTATTATGAATTTGCCACTTTATACTTCCAAATTAAAATTTTTAAATATAAAAATTTAAATTCATTGGCGAACTACGTCAGTTCCCTATCAGAATTACATATACTTGTATTTATTATTTTTTATCTATGTATTAATGAAAATGGGTTCCTGTATTTTAAAGAAGTTTTAGTCGTTCATAGAATACAAGCAACGATCATAGAATACAATACAAGGTTACTACAACCGTTGAAGTCATAAAACCAACATTCTCATACATACATAGGAACAATAATAAAAAAAGGAGGTAAAAGTGAAACTTTCTTTTACATTATAGACATTTAACTAAAAATTGCTTCATCAATCTTAATTTTATACTTGGAAAATGGGAAATGATAGAAGTAGACTAGGTCTCCAACTAATACTTTTATTGAACTCTGTGTCTTAGAGTACGACATACATAATATTTAAATATTATTTAGTTGATATACACATATTAAAAAGTTTTACTTTAAAAACTGAAAACAACTCAAATATATCGTTGAGTCATTTTGATCCGTTTTTCAATAATTCTGTTATCAATTCCATCTTCATCATGACTTTTAACAGTTTATAAATGTAACCAATATTTTATCGTAACTAAAACTAAAAACAAGAAATAACGCTAACTTCGGTTGCACCGAAGCTATAATACCCTTCCAAGTTTTCCATACAAGCACTTGGTTCCGATTGTTCAGTTTGTATGGAAGCTATATGCTAGAGTGGTTCGATATCGGCTATTCCGACAAACGAGCAGCTTCTTGGTGCGAAAAGGTTATACTGTAAATTTAAAATCGATATCTCAAAAACTAAGAGACTAGTTCGCGTATATACAGACGGACATGGCTAAATCAACTCAGCTCTTCATGCTGATCATTTATGTATACATTTTATAGGGTCTCCGACGTTTCCTTCTGGGTGTTACAAACTTCGTGGCAAACTCAGGAAATAATAAGCAGGGTATAAATAGCAGAATTGAGCATTTTCACTGTTAAAGGAGAAAAATAATGCTAATTCTAATGTTAAGAAATGTACGCTTACAGAATGCGCAAACGACTCTGCATGTAATTTATAGATAATCTGTATATATTTGGGCATAAAGATATAGTAGATATCTATGTTCAAATTTACCTATTTCATGATAAATTCCATAATACCTAAATATTTAATCTATATATGTTTTATATATAATATAATTATTTGCTTTGGTCATTAAGAGAATGAATAAAATTATCCGAAACCCCTCTCTTTGCCTTTTGAGAGAGCTCATGATCTCGTGGCATACTTTCTCAACACTGAAAGTTCATAAGCTACTGAACTGATGACAAGCAAAACAATGAACTACTAATAAAAATCCCGCAGAAATAAATTGCGAAATCAGTGGGTTGTTTGTAAGACCAGAATTTTTAGTGACTTTAACGTGTGTTTCTAATATTTATTTAATAAGATTTAATATAGTTTTGTTTTTAAGAAAGAGCGAGTATTTTGTTGCAGAGTATACTTTTACTTCGCAGTACCAATTGTCAACGTATATACACATTTTGGTTAGAATTCCCCGCAAATGTTATGTAAACTTTAACTTCCGAATAAATTATCAAAAGATATTTGATATTAACATGTACATATATTTAGACCACATATATAATATCTAGCTTGTTAAATTAATTTTAATTATGTATATTTTTGTGTTAAATGGAAACCGAAAAATACCCAAGAAATACATTAAAAAATCTCAAGACGTATTTCTTTCCTTAGTGGCACCACTGTCAAAGGTTATAAAATATGTAAACTTTGAAGAATTCTGCTGCTATAACAACAACAACCGACATTCCACCCTTCCGTACTTACCGCCCGCATCAAACCAAATTTGTGAAAAGTTATACCCGTAGTTGCAACGCAGAAATCAATTGTTCTCTTTTGTTTTCATTTCACCAATGTTGCCATTGTTGTTTGTATATAATATAATTTTTCATAATGTAAAAGCTTAAAAACAAAATCCAACTATTAAAAATAGTTTACCTATTTATAATAAGTGTATTCGAATGTGATTTTGAGTTATTTTAGGAATATTTCAAATTTATTCAAGATCATTTCTTAATTAGTACAAAATATCGAGATTGGCAACCCTACGTCCAATTTTTGCGGATATCCGTACGGACCGTACGTCTGTTGAAGCGGACGGTAGAAGCGGTGGTGAGTGTTCAATTACATTGCGCTCTCATAAGATAGGTCGTATCAGCTGATTCTCTCACGGTTCTGCGTCGGTGACTGTTTGTGCCATTAGAAGCGTTGCTGAGTGTTCATTTACATTGTTATCACCGCTATACACTACACCGACTTGTTGTCGTGCTTGATGAATATCAAAACTTTTTGATATTTGAATTTGACGACCGCTAATTTGATCGTCTCACTCATGCTTAACAAGCACAAGTTCCATGGATAATATGATCCGAAACTCCTCTCTTTGCTTGTTAAGAGAGCTCATGATCTCGTGGTTTCATTGGCTTCTAAAATCATATTATCCATGATAGTGACTGTTGATAGATGAACAAATGCGCGGAGAAAATAATGTTATTGATTTTGAGTCAAAAGGCTAAAAAGTAATTAAAAGACGAAAAGATCACATAAATCTTTATATTATTTAAATTTTTATGCTCTTGCAACATGATCCCATGATCTAGACCCGCTATAACTAATATATAATCTTAAAATATCCGGTTGGCCTTATATAATATATATTCGAAATACCCCTACTCCCATATATTTAGTATTGTACATATAACGATTTTCGTTTTTCTAATAAGCTTTATGACGAATCTGTCGCTCAGTGTGTGTTATATGTTTATAAAATTGCTTGAAAATATGTTCTCGAGTATACCTGAGTAATATCAGTAATGTAACTTACTATATTAAATTTAGCCTTTACGGTTGAGTTTATATCACATATTTCTCCTTTAAGGATGACTTTAATATAATTTTCGTTAACGCGATTAAAATATGTTATTAAGAATAAGTGAGTACATAACTTTCAATATAAATTAATAAGATACCAAATTTGATGTTATCCATTCACAATTTCGTCGAATAATAAATTCTGAATTCTTTTGCAATAATTTTTAATAAAAAGTTTTGCTAACACCTATAAGTATTTCGCCGGCTTTGAGCTTTGCAAGTTGCAAGAGTGTTCGGTTACACCCGAACTTAGCTCTTCCTTCCTTGTTTAGGTTTGTTTTATTTTTATAATATAAAATATTTTGTTGAGGGGATGTTGAAAACTAATGAACTTTTAATTATTTAAAAAAATTTTTGGTTTCACTAGAGCAACTCTTAGCAACCGCAAAGCAGCTAGGCTCGACAAAAGTAAATTATCTCACAAAGGTCCTCAATCTGTCTTTGACCACCCTTCACATACCCGATGTGCGGAAAATCGGAAGAGTAGTCCCAGTACTGCAACCTGGGAAGTCTACCAACCTAGGGGAGTCTTATCCGATAACTCTCCTTTCCCCAGTAGGGAAAACATTTGAGACTTTGCTACTCCCGACCTACACACACCACCTGAGTCTAACCAAACACCAACACGACTTCCGTCATAAACACCCAGATAGCTCGTGACCTCACCCAGAAACCACCCTGCGAGAATACTCTCTTCGTAGCGCCGGACTTGTGAAAAGCATTTGGTACAGTCAACAATACAATGCTACTTGAGGACATCGAACAAACCACGGTCCCTCCAGGACTGAGGAGGTGGATCTTGAACTATCTGAGCGGTCGCCAATCATCGATATGAATTTGAGGTATACAATCTAAATTAAGGAGAATTAAACAGGGGGTTCCGCAGGATGGTGTCCTCCCACTCCGGACTATAGCAGGATGCCTCCTGATGTCTCCTATCGAACATTTACATAGTCAGCCCCGCATGCTTCCTGTAAAGAAGCATAACACACTTCTCTTCAAGCAGTTTCTGCTCGGATGTTTTCGTCAAAATCATCCCTGCAGTCAACTTCTTGAAGCGTAGCTGCCTCCCAGGAACATCAGGAGAACATTCCTCCAACACATCGACGAATTACCACCATACCCAAACAATACAATACAATACACAGCGGAGCCATTAACACCTTCATTGACTCCCTCCCAGTGAATGGCGTACTTGGAGTCCAAACACCATCTATTGCATAACAAGAACTCGAGCTGCCGCGTGACCCTAACGCAACTTCGGTCTGGGTGCTGAATCAGGTTAAACTCTTACTTATCCAGACTAGACCCCGACATACAAAACTTATGTCTGCATGCAACGAGTCAAACCAACTCTCCTCTCTCCCTATGGTCCGATTTCGATGACAATCAATCAGAATCTTATCACCCAAACAGGGATTAGATAACCGTTACAACAACAACATGTCCCGCTAAATCCACTCACTTAACGCCCCTCTCCCTTTTGTCTGAGCACATCGAAGCAGCCCGTTTCCTGGACCTATTGTTAGGTGATTTGGATGACAATTGATTTTTGCAGTTTTCCCTAAAGTGTCCCAAAATGGATCCGCCCACTTTCAAGTGAAATTCCATACCTCAGAACCGACTCGACCAACTTCTACCAAATTTGACCTTCTAATAAGTCCGCCACTGCTGAAGTGATTGCGGACTTCACTGTGGTTAAAAATTTGCTCAAAGTGAGATGATTTTGGCCCGTCATAATTACAATAAATTTTTCATGCAATCGAAAAACTAGGGGGTCATTGTTCAGAGATGCATATACAATATAAGCAGAAAAAAATCAAAGCGATCGGATGATTGGTCGTTTAGTAAAATAAAATATTTAAAATATTCATTTAAAGTTTTAGTATGATTTGTTTCGAAATATCACATTAGGTGTGCTCTTTAATACATATTGAATAAAATGTATGATATGCAAGCTAAGAACCCGCTATGTGGGCTTTCCGCCACATGACGTCGATTCTTCTATGATTTTTAACCAATGAATATGGTTTGTGGAACGGTTTCGTCAACTACTCCATATATAACACAACTATGTTACTTTTCCAATTATCTCAGATAGAGTATACAGCTTTTCAATAGCTACTAGATATACATATGTATGTATGTACTTCTATATATTTTCATAGATATGCAAATAAGTAAACAATTAATTACTTTTGCCTTTTACGCTTTAATAAATTAAAATCGCCATACGTTGTATAACTATCTGTAAGGAATGGTATATAAAATGCTCTGAAGAGTTTATGGGAATTATCTTGTATAAGAAAAGGTAGAGTTTTGTATGTCGTCCAATCTTTGATAAATTTAGAGTAATTTGGTTCCAGTTCTGTATATTTTCCTTCATCAAAATATACTAGAAAGTCGCAATTATTGTAATTAAAATAAGAGCGTTCGTCTTCATTATTCTTGTCATTAAAATATGGATGCAGTATTTGTGTACCGTTTTCACCGTCAGCATAATAAAATGGTAGCATGCCTCGAAACTCTGATTTTAAAAAGCGTAAACGGAAATTATTCGGTGGTAAAAAGAAACTTCCGGGATAACGATGCCAGTCTTTTCCAATACAAACATTATATATTCTATCACCTCGATATTCTTGTGAAGTGGTAAACTGATTTAATTCCATGAAGATATCCATCGGTGCATGATAGTTTCTATACAAAGAAAAAACTCTCGACAAACCCAATAGTGTACTTAGAAGCATTACAAAAATAGCTATAAACATAGTGTGATCCAAATAATGTGAACCCACCGCTATTTTACTGCTTACTATCAAATATTTTATCCGATAAAAAAGACGTTGAAAAACATCAACAGTAATGGCTCCGCATAATGTTATCATAGGGTAAATTGGAAAAAGAAAACGTTCTTCTTTGTGAGGTTGTGGAAAAAATACCAAAAGCCATAGATAAAGCGGTGCCAATGACAAATAGCGTGGAAAATTAAGTGTTGATTTGTGCTTTGCTGGCACTACAAAGTGATCAATTACCAGAGCGATCGGAGTAACAAGGCAAAGCAACTGAAATAGGTTTTTTATATTATACAATGATAACCGAGTTGATTTCCCCAACCACTTACCCAGACGATGTTAAAGTTCAAAAATCCATTAATTAAATAATATTTAAATGGTTCAGTGCCAAAAATGTTCGGTCCATGGCTGGTGAAAACGTTATAAATCACAAGGTTTATAGGAGCCATAACTAATTTCCCGTAATAGGAGCTGTCAATAATAACCATCGGTATGCCGATGGTAATTCCACTAATGATCGCCCACGTTGAAAATGTTTTCCACAATCGTTTCCTCAAAAGTATATCCATAGCTATAGGTAATCCTATTAAACTTCCAAAAGGCCAACCAAGAAGTGTAGAAATGGCAACGAAAAATATTGCAAGGCTATAGTTCAGTTGCCACCAAGCAGCAAGAGCTGCGCATCCAAAGTACATTGAGAAAGACGATGGCAGCAAAGCGGTGCTAGAGACAAACATGCCCACACTAAAAAGTTGAAATATCAACCATAATCGTCCTATATGTATTCCGAATTCTTGACAAATAGACCTATATTGATAAAATATTTTAGATTTTAAACGATTCAATACTCGCTTTTAAACAAATTAATCTTACTTGTACACAAAACGTTCCATAACAGCGCAACCAAATCCTAACATACATCGAATCATGTAAAAGATAAGTATTGGGCTTGGGTTAAATAATTTTTGATATATCCAGCCTGGTACTCCTTGTACTAGTAGATATGTATAAGAACGTAAAGCAAACTCAGGACTATATTCCCAGGTTTGCAATCCATGTCCATTAATGATGTAATGTAGTGGTTCCCAATAATTGAACGTCTCATCGCAATCAGCTATATATGCCCAAATAGCACTGCATAATCGTGCGCTAATTAACGTTTTAAAAGCTGTCTCAACGCTCGGTAACATCGAAGTTTTTGCATTTGTAATCACAGATGTTCCTATTTCTAATCCATTGGCACTGGAAATAAAACACTAATTTACAGCTGTTTGTTTTTAAAAACTTATATATGTACCTCTTTTTGGTTTCTTTTTTTTTGTTGTTATCAAGTTTTTTAGGTGGCTTTTTTGTAAGAACAACTCCATTATCCGATTTATTTGCGTTATATCGCTGCCGTGCAGCCGGTGGGGCCATGACTAATTAAATACGATATAAAATTCTCAGACAAAATAACAGGGTGTCTTTTTAATAGACTAACATATCTGTTTTTGTAGTAAAGTAAACACGAGACATACTGTAAAGGATTTCTTAATAAATCGTCTAACTATAACTCACTGTTTAGTTCGATCACTCGATTGTTAAATAAAAGTCCAAAATCCAACACTTATTCCTCGTTATTCGAGCTTACCACTTCTTGCTTATGTCCCAATTGCTCTTAACACGACAACACTCTAACTAAAACTGTGCTAGAACAATCTGACAGCCCTTATTTTTAATAAAACTTTGTCTCTAGAACATTCTGGCAACTACGAATTCGCTGTATAGTTGCTTCTGGCAATTTATTGTCGGTTCGATTTTGTTCTATCATCCATGTTCGTCACAATACTGAAACTTTTGTAGTAACTGATCAACTATTCTGTTCATTATTGAATACTTTTTAATAATTAATTCAAAAAAAGAAAAAAAATTATTCTCTATTCAATATGTTTTGGTCAGAATTCATAATAAGTTGATATAATAAATTAGACACATTTGTATTATTTGCTTGGAAAGGAATGTAAAGACAGAGAACGTATATGAAAATTTATTTAGCAGATTGAATAAACTAAACTAAATGTAGTAAATGTAACATTATGAATGTTGTGTCTAACCGAGGCATAAGAAAGTATGGTATATTTTGAATGCTTGCATATGCAAACCTGAAAAACAGCTGATAAATTTAGTTTTCGTACCTTATTTTTCACATATAAATCACATTAAGCGATAGCGAAGTAAAGTTATTAACTTATCATAGAAAATATAAAAAAACATTTATATATATATATAAATTTAATAGCTATTTATTCCATCAAAATTGTTATTTTTAACATTAAAACACATAAGGAAATTCCAATAGAATGTCCAAAGACGATAGAGAATTGGATTTGTCAAATGCTGGCCGAGGTGTATGGTTGGTTAAAGTGCCGAAATACATAGCACAAAAATGGTCAAAAGCCCCATCAAACATGGATGTTGGGAAATTACGAATTACTAAAACGCCAGGACAAAAAGCGCAAGTTTCTTTATCACTAACACAAGCAGTTGTAAATCTGGATCCAGAGGAAAAAATTCCTACTGAACATATATTAGATGTGTCGGTTGTAACTAAACAAACTTTAGGGGTATTTTCCCATGTTATGCCACCTGAATCAAATAATTTGAGTAATGGAAAGGATAAAGAGGCACAATCTGTTAGTGAAGTTGAAAAACTGTACATGGAAGGGCGTATTGTGCAGAAGTTGGAATGTCGCCCAATTGCTGATAATTGTTATATGCAATTAAAACTTGAATCTATACGGAAAGCATCGGTACCTCAGCGCAAGGTTCAGCCAATAGATAAAATAGTGCAGAACTTCAAACCAGTTAAAGACCACGCTCACAATGTACGCAAACTGATTATAAATATATTAAGCTGAAATATAATGAGTACATAATTTATACATATATCTCTTATATTATAGATCGAGTATCGTGAAAGAAAGAAGGCGGAAGGTAAAAAAGCTCGAGATGATAAAAATTCAGTTATGGATATGCTTTTTAATGCTTTTGAAAAACATCAGTACTATAATATTAAAGATTTGGTAAAGATTACAAAGCAGCCTATTGGTTATCTTAAAGAAATCCTGAAAGAGGTATGTGATTACAATATGAAAAATCCACATAAAAATATGTGGGAGTTGAAGAAAGAGTACCGCCACTATAAGACTGAAGATAAAAAGGATGATGAAAAAGCACCAACAGACAGTGATTCGGAGTAGTATAACAATATATTAATTTAAAGTGTAAAAATCTAATTTTAATTTTTTTAATAAAAAGAGATTTCCCATGTATACATCATTATCAATTAACTTGATTTGTGTCAGTGTGATTTCAATATATCAAATTTGGTAACAATAACGGCGAAATGTGCGCCATGATTGATTTCAACATTTGAAAGAGTTAAGGTTTTTGTACTCCGTCAAATAATTCGAGGAAACACATAATTATTTTCTAACAAAAAGGTTGGTTCTCAGTATTGTTAATTATTCCTTTTCTAATTGTAGATGACGAAATGTTTAAGCTCCCATAACAGTAGGGTCTACGTATCCGGTGCGACTCGGATTTTTATTTGACCAAGCAAATCTCGACATAAGTTTCTAAAAATTATCAATCAAATATATCGAAAATGTATTATGTTTTTGCTCATATTTTGGTGAGAAATATGTTAAATCGGAAAGAAAAAATATATTAGATCGAAACAGTCGAGCATAGCCAGCTGCACTGCCACTCCACGTATCACTAACTCGCGCCAACAATAAACAAAGCATAGGACTATACAACTGTAATATTCTTGTAAATTATTATTGACACAACAGACTCAGCGGAAAGAACGCTCCCGCGGTCACCAATATCTAACACCCGAATATTGCAGTTACGTAACCGAAATGGGTTTATATCGGTCCAACAGTCAACTCGACGACACTCCTTAAAATTATTTAGAGAACGTTTTCTTCCACTACCGCAAGCCGCACTAGCAATATTTGAATCTGGAAATGGTAACAAGTAGTTAAATCTTAATAATGAAGTTATCTATATAGCGTGATAAGTTAACAAAGTTTATGCCTTAATAAAGAATGAAATGTACAGTGGTCATGGTAGCGTAAAGAATTTAATATCCCCTTTTTATAACATATTTGGATATACTTTTGTTGAAAGCATGCCAGATATCCTGGACGGACAATGTTGAGAAAACATAAATTAAAACGCTTCTTTTTGTCAAAGATTATTTTCTATTTTATGGTGCATCATGTTTAACTCAATAGCACTACTTTATAATTATTAGTGTATATCAAAAACTAAAACTTATTTATATATCTATTATGTATATGTATATGTATATATATATATATATATATATATATATATAACATTTTACAAGTATGAGTAAACAATATTTATTTATTAATATTATACAGTTATTAGATTGAAGTGCAAGTTTGTCTGATATAAAATAATCAATATTTAGTTGGTCATCTTGTATAAAAATACTTTGCCTTATTACTAACCCTACCTTCCTCAATTATCATTGAGGATTCAGGTACAATGTTTTTAATTGCATTTATCAAATTTTATATTGCAAAAAATATATAAAGTAAAAAAGCATTAAGTGACATATGAAAACAAAAAATGTTACTTTCGAAGGATAATTTGTGGAAACAAAAAGTATATAAAATATTAATGTTGCTGCAATTCATACGATTCACACTAGTAAATTATTAAAGAAATTACAGAAAAATATGTTTTAAACATTTTAAATGTCATAATTATTTGTTACACTCATATACAATATGTATATATATATATATGCAACAGTAACACTCGCGCTACACAGTAGGCAGTAACGGTGAACCAGACTCATTTTGGTGTCATGAAGAACACTCCTCTGTTGAGAAGATACCAGAATCATAATCATCATTGATATTTGACAGTTTCTCAATTTGTTTCAAGGGCCGTACAACATTTAAATCAACTTCTACTATAGCATTGCTATCTGTGACGTTTTCATTAATTCTTGCATTACATTGCCCTCCAGATATAACAAATGATTCTTTAAAATTATGGCTCGAATTGTTACTCTTACTAGATTTTTTCGAGTGAATTATCCCAATATTATCTTCAATGGCTACAGTATGGCGTTTTGTGTTCAATAAAGTCAATTTTATATCGCTCCATGCTGAGGGCTTTTCAGAACATTTTTCGAACACATCGATTTTTATATTATTTTGATTTGCCTGAAATATAATATAGATAAAGAACAAAAATTAATGTAAAAAGTATTCATTAATTTATATAATATACAATAATTTACGAGAAACAACAATTATGTTAAAAAACTTCGTGGTGTGGCTATATAATAAATATGTTAAAAAACCGAAAAAACATACTTTCATATCATATCAAACTAAAATGAGAAAAATAATTCTTAACATAAGTGTAGTCACACCAGAGAAATTCCAACAATGGGAAGGCAAAGAAGTTGCATCAATTTTTGTAAGTTACCTTATACTCCGCTTACGATTGCGATCATTACCAAAGTGCAGAGCGGCAAAATATCTTCAAGTCGCAGGGAAATGTTATTGGCAACTTACAAGGCAATCGATCACAGTATATAAATCGAGAACCAATGGCATTATAGAAATAATCGATATCGTATTATAACTTTCCAATTCCCTAAATACCGAAGATGTAAACCTCAGTACCTAAGGCTAACTTTTTAACAACAATATCTGCAAGAGACCTTAATAAAAGCCAGGGAGCATCTTTATCTTCATATACCTAAACGGAAGATTTGCGAACTAACGGTTGAATTAATACTGTATATACCGGTCAATATATGAGATATCTTAAAGAAATTAAGACAACGTTACTCTCTAGTAACAGTGTGTCCTTGTGCCTAAAGTCGATAACATTGTGCAGGCTGGCTCTGTTGCTACAGTGTATAATAGTTTTGTTCATCTAACGGTTGTTTGTATGACCTAAAACTAATCGAGATAGATATGGAGTTATATATATAAACGATCAGGATGACGGGGCGAGTTCAAATCCTGGTGACAGTCTATCCGTCCTATTGAAATCCTCGTTAAATCTATTTTTTATGAGCTACTTGACCAATTTCAACGAAATTAGGTTTATGACATTATTCTGACATGCCTATATTACGGTGTGCGAATTCCTACTTCTCAAACAATTTTAAAATTCTGATCTTGTCACTTTACAGTATAGAAATTGAGAGCCAATAAAGATATCGGTTAAAAACTTTGCAAAAATAGTGCCGTTTAGATGTGTCATCCACCTTACAGTAGCTATATGTAATTTTTTTTGTGAAGTAATAAAATAATGGTAAATTAATAAGACACTAAATTTGTTAGTAATTTATTCAAGGTTTTGTCAAATAATAAATGTTGAACTCTTACGCAACATTTTTAAGTATAAAGTTTTCCATCACCTGAAAGTATTTCCCAGGCTTTGATCTTTGCAAATTACGACAGTATAAAATGTTTTTTTACACTTGAACTTAGCCCCTTCTTACTTATTCATTATAATTCTACATTCAACAATTTGTAACAAAGTTCAGCAAAAGGCTCATATCGCCAAATAAAACATCCGACTCAATAATGATTTTTGAAATTCTTGCCTCAAATAACGTACGGGTCTGAGTAGGTGTGCTCTTTTGACACAGATTCGTTTTAAAATGTGTAATATTATGAAATAAGTTCTGATAATAGCAAACTTTAGGATTAATTATTCAATATTGGTAATAATTTCTGGCGTTATATATTTTTAAATAAAATGTAGGAAGTACTGTGTAGCAAGTAAAATTATTATTTCTTTAACTTTTGTATACCTAAAGAAACAAATAAGAAAAAAATTTACTCACCAGTAACAAAGTCGATAGAAAGTAGCGTGATACATAACTTTCATCCTTATTGACCATCATGTCTTGGAATGTTATAGACGAGGCCTTTACAGGGTTTTTGGGAGCTTCAGGCTTCTGCAATTCGTTCATAATGTCCGTTCCTAATTGAAAAACATCGAAATGATGACGATCTCGTGCCTTTGATAAAATAGGTTGCAAATACTCATGCCATTTTTGTATCTTGTAACGAAAAGTTAAATTAGTTTAATATACCTTAGTTTATTTCATCAAAATACCTTTGTATTGCTATTTTGCAGTTCCTCAATGTTTTCTGTGCACAAAATAACATCCTCAAATAACAAAGGCGAGTTCGACGAAGTATCAATATTTGGTTTATTTTCACTTTGGATAATATTGTTCGCGGAAATATTAATATCGGAAGTTATTTCATTGGTCGAATTTTCACTTTCTGAAGCAGCTATTTTAGCTTGACATGTAATATCTTTAATTAAACCATTTTGACAATCAGGCATCCGTGTCGCATCTTCTATGAATTCCTTTTGTAAACTCTCCTGTTCCAATGTTTTATTATCAACAGCTTCTTTACTTGTAGATATTGGTTCTTTATACTGCGATGTGTTATTTAGGCTTTCACAAGTGGCCTCGACATCATACACGTTTATTGTTAATGGCACGTCTGCGTCAACACCCGAATCTCTGCTCAATCTATGAAAATTTTTACTTAACTGTTCCTCCTCAGTAAATCCCAGGAATTCCTCCACATCTTCACCATCACTAAGTATGCCATTGTCTAAAATATGTAATGATTTTTAAAATATTAAAAAAGATCATTACATATAAAAGTAGTAATTGTATACCAGTTTCGATAGTCGGTTTATCAACATTGACTTCTTGAGATTCATTGAATAATTTCATTGGTCGGTACTGTCTTTGTTCATTTATATCCATGCAAGTCGATTTTTTCATTGAACGCTATAATAATGCATTAGAAACAGTTGGAAGTGTAGAGATGATGTACTTACCGATTGAAGGAAAAGTTCCATTTCGGGACCAAGTCTAAATAATATTCGGCGTCTAAGTAGTTTTTCATGAAATTTAAATATATTTAGATTTATAGGAGGTGTGGAAGGTCGTACTTGAATAGGCATTGTATATGTAGGAGGTGGTTCTTCGTCTGCTATATTTAAAATACTCCTTATTTCATCATCAATTATAATAGTTATACTTTTTTTGTTTGGTATACAAGGGAATACATCAGTAGTAACTACTCTGGGGGATAACATACGGTGCTCCTGGTCATCTAAATCCGAAAAGTAAACGCCCTCATCGTCTAGGTGGGGAAGGTAAACACGTATTTTATTCAAGTTGATTTCGTTTTCGTCTAAGAAATGTTGGAAATAGTGATCTGTTTACAAAATGAAATATACTTGTAAAATCATCTTACCGTTTCTTCTGACAACTTCATTTTCAGTCGTAAACTCAACATTGTTTGTATTAGATTCGACATTTTCTAGAGCTAAGATATCTATGTTCTTGTTTAGATTTTTACTATCATTCCCATTCTGACATTCGTTTGTTATGCTTTCTCCTAAACCAGTGTCATTTTCAGTTCTCTCTGCTATGTTGTCTTCTGCTGAATTAAAATCGTCCAGTTGATTTTGTGGACCAATTCTTGAACCCTCAATTGTATTTTCACATTCGACAATTGATTCTAAAATCGATTTTTCAGTCGAATTCAAATTATGCGCTTGCGTAAAACATGAGTTTTCGTCTGTCAAGTTTGGAACACTTAAATCAATATCACTGTTTAGGGTAACTTCACTTTGTTCATTAACAGTAGTTTCATTCAATTTTGTACTAAGATCTTTTGACTCGTTAATGCTATCTCCAACACCTGATTCACTTTGAATGAAATTGGACTTATACTCTTCGGTGTTTTCCGCTGATCGATTGCACTCTATGTTAGGTTCACTACATACTTTCTGATTTTGTACTGGTTCAGGAGTAAAAACTATATTATTGTCCTCTATTCTTAGCTTTTTACACGTATTTTTATCTTCTGCGACCGCTAAGGCTTTATTTTCTAAATCTAAATATTTTGTAACATACTCTTCTGAAAGAGGGGGCCAATCTTTTAGAATGTTTACAGAACTATTGCAGGAATCATCATTTCTTTCAAGGCGTTCTTCCTCCTCATCTATATAATCCTTTACTTTGAAGTGCATTCTAAAATTAATGTCTGGCACCAATGTATTATAACGGTGCTCCACGTGATATGTGAAGAGCTTGTAATTTCGTTTCGAATCAATATCTTCTTCATTTTCCAGATCGACAATACAAGCATGCATCCATGCAGCTGGATGTATATATTGTTCGGAATCTATTTTATAGAATCTTGATTCGACCATCTTCTGTTTTTCTTGGCTCCGGCCACTAACAAACCGCTTTTCTTCGGTTAATTTTCGAAATTTTCTCGGAACTAATTCCACTTCAAAGGGGTCTTCAACCGCTGCGACCAGTCGTTTGCGAGTACGTTTAGGCTTCTCTTCGGATTTTTTGTTTTGGTCTTCACCACTAAAATTGTTTAATAATATATTTTTAATTTGATAAAATTTATCGTTTTGAAATTTTCTGATCCATATTAAAGTTTATATAATGTATTTATATAATTTATATAAGTTTAATCTTTCGTAAGAACAAAAAATGATTGATTTCAAAAATATTTGCTAATAAAATAAATATTATTTTTCAAAGCCCATAACACATTCCATAAATTTATTAATTTAGATAATAAATTTGTATGACACTAAAGCCGACCCGCTGAATCTACTCAACTTGCGAATGCGTCTGCGTACGTTTTTGAAATGAGTAGATAACACATATTGTTGTAACGATTATCTAGACCCTGTTTGGGGGAAGGCAATAAGTTAATTGTCATCAAATCACTTAACGGTAGGCCCAGGAAACGACCTGTTTCGACGGGACCATAGGGAGAGAGGAGTTAAATGCCCGTTCCCACGACAGTCGGGTCTACGTAACCGGAACGTACCCGGATTTATTCCGGCCAAGGACTGTCAACTCGGTAGAATTCTGCCGCTACAACAACAACAACAACAGGAGTTAAATGCAAAGAGATGATTAGGACTCGTTGCATGCAGGACATAAGTTTTGTAAGTCGGGGGCCCAGAGCAAAGTTGTGTTAGGGCCACGCGGCACCACGAGTTCTTCTAGCAGTGAAGAAGCAAGAAAATTCTTGAACACACGAGATAATTGAGACTCCTTCTGGTAGTTGTGGCAGTTTCGAGATGTAGTGAATGGTCCACCTCTTCAGTTCTAGAGGGATCGTGGTTTGTTCGATGTCCTCAAGTATATGTATATGTCTATATTAAATATTTCGAACTCGACCACAACTTGGTTTCTTGACCCAGGGAGTGAGGAAGTTGTGTATAGGTGGTGGTTGTTGAGCGGTTGTCTTACTTGGGTGTGGTTTGACGACGCCATGGATGATTGCTACGGGGGCAGACTACTCCAGCAAATAATTTTAGTGGAGCCTTTTGGCGCAAAGGCAGCAGAAAAATTTTTCCGAGCCAAAAATCCCGGTATCGGTAGAACAAGAAGAAACAATATTACAATGTTGTCACTGGGAGCAAAAACAAAAAAAAAAACGAATTTAAAGCACATGCAACTTTAAACTATATTCATTTTTTACTTTTACTTTATTATACCGAATTTCTGCGCTTCCTGTGTTTTTTTTTACTTCCTCTAAGGATTTGTTAATCATATGACAGCATCGACAGTTGTTGCTTTAAGTAACACGTTGCAAAATTTAAGGCGCGTTTTTTACTTTAGCTGTTCAAGCTTTTTTGTGACAGTGCTCTTAAAATATATAATAATGACATTACAGTGCCACTGAAAAAAGTTATAAACATACAAATATACAGGTGAAGCTAATAAAAATGATTTAAAAAACGGCAAAATTAGATAATTAAAAAAAAACTCTAATTTTCGGTGGTGTTTAAACTATACATTTACCAAAAAACAGTTTCGGAAATGTTAAAAGTACCGAAATAAATAAAACCACAACAGCATGATACATGCATAACTCAAATGAAATCATAACTGAATCAAAGTGCTTTCTAACCGGTATTATATTTTATTGACACTTACCCGTTTTCAACAATTTCCTTATCAGCATTGGATAAGGTCAGTATTTGTCGCTCCACCAACTCCTGTACAAAATCCACTCGTCTCGCATATACTTTTGAAGAATTCAAAAGCAATAAACCTGCTTCGTTCAAAACAATTTCACGTCCAATACCTAACTGCTCGAATAAATCTAAATACTGTTTTCGAGATCAAAAACATTAATAAATATTGTTAAAAAATACGTACTAGAGAAATTGTTCACTCACATATTTAAGAGATATGCCGAAATCAGTGGCATACTCCGCGTGTTCAGCTAACTCAATAAGCAGAAGAACAATATTTTTTTGAGAACGTTCCTCCTCCACGCTACGTATGAGTTTCGAAACACGTGAATTGGGATGTTTGTTAGCTGCTCGCAAAATATAATCAAGGGCCTTGTTGTGATCTACACCTAAAATCAATTTATCCCATATAAATTACACAGAACAATTTATATTTACTTCTTCTTAATAGATACATATTGTTATGATGCACAACCACACACTTATATCACTAATATATTAGCTACTCTACGCACGTTTCAAGTAGGGAATTGGCAAATACCACTTTTTACCTAATCCAATCATTTTGTTTCCAGTTTGATTTTCATTTATTATAATATATTAATATTTTACAAACTCCCATAATAAACACTTATTTTGGTTTTTATCTTCAATCTTATTTTGGTCTTCTCTTTCACAAAATTTCATTTTTCTCCCACAAGCATTAACCTCTGCTAAGGGTTGTCGTGTAAAATAAAAATACTTTCCGATGGTAGTATTACTCGCTAGATGCATGAGTTTAATAAGTATAAATCTCGTACTGCAGAAGCATTTATCTCATATCGTTTTGTTAATTTAAGAAACATAATATCGGAAACTTCAAATTTTTATAAAGTATATATTATAAAAAGTAATTTGAACAAATTTAATACACTAATATGCACATCTGGCGCTTTCGTTCAGTTGTCTATCGACTACCATCGATTATCCAGTGTTTTCCCTATTATTCAAAAATTAATTCTCATTAGTTTTACAGACTTAAAAAATTTTACTGCTTATTTATTTTAAAGACTAAATTTATATAAAATATTTGCCCACATCAAAAGGACAAGCATCTGCCGTAACAATAAAACTTTTCAGTAAAAAAATACGCATTTTGCGATGTAGTAGTAGAATAAGAATCTATTGTGAAAATAATATGAAATTATAATTATTATGAAATTCACTTCACCTAAAAAAATTGTCCATGAGATGCCCAAATTTTTTTTATTGGTTATTGCACACTTCATTTTTCAAAATCAATGTATGTTATACTTATGAATTCAATTAAATACAACTTTGCAATCACAATCCCTTTTAACCATTCAATTAATTGACAATTATGTTGTCAATAGATAAATTTATATATTTGAAAATCATCCAAGTTTCACGCACATTAATTTCACTCAAACTTTTTTTCTATAAATTAATAAATTAAGTATATTTCACGAATTACCAAAAATGTTTATAATTTTATGATCAGCTGTTTTGACTTAATTATTAAGTTGTGACACGACTTTATTGGGACAATGGATATCAAAGCGTAGGTCAAGTACAAAAAGAGAGAGTGGGGTCATAAAAGAGTGTGAATGTATTGCAACTTAATAGCAATTTCATGATTTTATAACGTCCTGGTAATTCTGTATTCCTTCTCATTTCTGTAGTCGGTGATTAAAAATTGATTTGAAATTCTTGGTCTGCAAAAATGCACACTATAAAAGAAATATTTCAGAAAATCGTGAACAGGGATAAAAATTGGCAATGAAAAATATTTTTGAGTAGTTGAAATGGAGATTATATGATATGAGAGGGAACGCAAAATTGAACGACTCATTTGTGTCGCGCTTGCAATTCCGAAAGAAAATTCCGTGTGTAAACGCCGTCATATTGTCTGTACATATTGCTGTAAGTTGTCAATTTGTTGAAGATACGATTTGTTGACAACTTCAGTTCGATATATAATATTATTTAAACGTAGTTAAGATATTAAGTGTCGTTTCGCGTTTAATAACTAAATATTTCAACCTAATTAAAGCCAAAAGGGAAGTACGAAATATGGCCAACCAAGAATCACAGGTTATGAGTTTACCGCTTCCACCGACGCAGTACATCAACCTTTTTTCTGAAGAAAACATAAGAAGAAATCGCACTCCCCGACCACCACCCCCTATGCAGGATACTTATAGCATGTTTGGAATTCAGTACAATAATGAAGAAATGATTCGATCATTGGAGTCTCAAAATATAAAACGTCTCATACCGATACATTTCGACCGTCGGAAGGAATTGAAGAAACTCAATCATTCATTATTTGTAAACTTTTTGGATCTTATTGATCTTTTGATTCAATACCCTGACAGTCCTCGAAGAACCGAAAAGGCAAGAGTACTGTATGTAATGGTGGAAATAATTTTAATTTATACTTTATACATCAGATCGATGACTTGAGCCTCCTGTTTGTTCACATGCACCATTTGCTGAATGAATTTCGACCCCACCAGGCACGTGAAACCCTGCGAGTAATGATGGAAATGCAAAAGCGTCAGCGTGTAGAGACAACAACAAGGTTCCAAAAGCATTTGGAACGAGTAAGAGATATAGTTAATACAGCATTTGCGACATTACCCGACATATGTAACGACGAATTTGATAACGCCGACAAGGTTAAAATGGAAATAGATACACAAGATATTAATGCCAATAATCGTAGTGATCAGTTGGATCGCATTATGTGTAAAATTGTTGACGGAATGGATTAGCTAATGCAATATTTTATATAAATAGTTTTATAATAATTAAATATGTAATACACAAATCGCACACGTAATTCATTATAGATTAAGATTTTCAGAGGAACTCTTCCATATACTTCTTCGGATATGCGGTACTTTTTGTGGACCTATATCAATGAGTTAAAGTTTTGATTCTTTCTTTAGTTTTGTATCTATATTTGGTAATATGCAATTAATATGAAAGTATACATGACTCTGCCCTTAAAGATGTCTTGATGACTTGCTAATAAAACAAATGCTGACATTGGCAAAGATAATATGATTTGTAAACGCCTTTATAATTAATAATGAACGACAAGCTCACAGAACAATGATCTTTTTGATATTTCTATTTCAGATGTCCTAAAGCCACCAAATCACCGGTATCAGCCACCTCCTTTTTTTTGAGACTCACAACACATTTATAAAAAAATGTTATTTTTGGACATTCTGACTTACTATTAATAATATATTACAAAATATAACTGATTGGATACATTTTTTTTCAAATAAATAAAACGTAAATGAACAAGAAGGTGCAGGTTCGACAGCGAACATTTGTAAAATTTCAGTCGGGGATTTCACCTCAAAAGCAGGAGAAACAAAAAACATTTCTCGCTTTTTTAACAGCGATAAATCTGTATGCGTATGGCTCTCTTAACATGCCCATCGAATATTGAAGAGAATATAATAAATATGTATGTCAAAAAGGGAATATTGATATGCAATTTCAAATATATTCCCTTTATTGAACTATTATTTATAATATTTAAATTATTTTATGTTAATTAATTTTTACTTTATTATGCGTTATTAGTAATAATTTAAAAGTATTTTGATATATTTCTTAAAATAATGAATTTATTTGACATCATTATGGAGTCACAAAAGTACATAATTGATTTTTGCCCTCGGCATTTTCATATCATATGTACATGTAAAGAAATATGAAAGAAAAATATTTGTAAATTTGTCTACAAACATCATATGTATGTAGATATGTGTATGCATTACTTATTTTGCAATGTCACGTATATTTTTACATACATACTTACATATAGAGCAGTGCGCACACATGTATGATTAGTGATAATATCAAAAATTCTATTCCTCCATGTGTACATACCAAAGAATGTATACGAACTCCATATTGATGTAAAGTAAAATATTTTCGTTTTTGCACAATCTTCCGCATTTTATCATGCCGCATTTGTACAAAAAAATCGTATTTTCAATTTTTCATCATAAAAATCGTTTATATGACAAAAAATAACCACGCATATTAAAGTGGCATTTGTATTTTTGGTTTAAAGTATTTCATTTTTCTATTTATATTTGTAGATACGTATTTCTGCCAGAGAACGTTGTTATAAATTCTTATTTTTGTTAAATAACAGCGAATATTACAGAAAATGGTGAACTCCCTGTTCGGAATTTTTCAGCTCTGTTAGCCGTAAAATCGAGCATCATACAAAATTCAATTTGCACCTTCTCGTTCTTCTAAATTCTCTGGTTCGATAACCACACATTTCGTCTAAAATTATAAAAGTTATATTTTCATAATAGTATTCGGTTATTAGATAATCTGATATTGAGAATCAAAACAAACCCGATGCGTCATATAAAAAGAAGCATCAACATGAACTAAATCGAGCAATTGTTACCCTAGTGCACTTTTCTACTAGGTAAATTGTGCATATAGAATTGGTTAAAACTAAAGCGCCCAATAGTGCGCTATTTGCAAATTACAATATAATAACACAATATAGTTGTTATTATTTCAATCTGATTTTAGAAGCTGGACCTGAAAATTCAGTGGTCAAAACTAAAAAACCCCTTTTATATTTCGTTTTCAAATAAATCTAACTTTAAATGAATATAATTAAATATATGCACACGTATGGAGACACTTAAGAGAACTTCTCCCAAATACATCTAAATAAAGTTTTGAAACAATTTGTAAGTATGTACATTAGTATTAAATTAAAAATTACTAAAATTGTAATAATCAGGATTTAGAGGGCCAATAATAGGTGATTGCAAAAGTTATTTACCTCAACATAAAATTAGTATTTCGGCAACAGATCTTGGCTAATACGGAAATTACAATAAATATCCACAAAATGACTGTGACAAACTTACTTACTGTACTGGAAAACGGCGAAAATCTTCTCGACAGGATGACTTTTTGATCGCGATCACATTTGAAAGGATCTTACAATTATATAAATATAAATTTATGTTTGCCAGTTAATGAATGAACATTGTGCAGACGATCCATTTTATCCATTTTTGTCATCATGATATACCATATTTTACCACAAAAAGATGTTTGTTTAAGATATCTCACAGATTGACAGTATCTGGGGTCTTGAACTTTTTTTTAAAGGAAAGTGGGCGTAGTTGTAATTCGATTTCGTCCCCTTTCGCACAGAAGCATAAGTCTGTCATGATAATGGTATGCACCAAAAATCGGTTAAGTAGTTCCCGGGGTATGGAATTTCACCTGAATGTCAAGGAATATGTATGTATGTACCTATACCAGATTTCATTAGGTTATCTCAATTTTTACTCAAGTTACATACTGCTTGCACTTGTAGAGGGACGGATGAATAGCTTACGGATTGACCTCCTCATCTAGTGA